TCGAGTGTCGGAAGTTTACCAGGAACCAAATACGTGGGTGTTAAACACGTTGCCCGATTGTCGAGTGTCGGAAGTTTACCAGGAACCAAATACGTGGGTGTTAAACACGTTGCCCGATTGTCGAGTGTCGGAAGTTTACCAGGAACCAAATACGTGGGTGTTAAACACGTCGCCCAATTGTCGAGTGTCGGAAGTTTACCAGGAGCCAATACGTGGGTGTTAAACACTTTTCCCGATTGTCGAGTGTCGGAAGTTTACCAGGAACCAAATACGTGGGTGTTAAACACTTTTCCCGATTGTCGAGTGTCGGAAGTTTACCAGGAGCCAATACGTGGGTGTTAAACACTTTTCCCGATTGTCGAGTGTCGGAAGTTTACCAGGAACCAAATACGTGGGTGTTAAACACGTTGCCCGATTGTCGAGTGTCGGAAGTTTACCAAGAACCAAATACGTGACCAAGCCGTATATGCCGTGAATGTGGTCGAGGCTTCCTGGCTCGGATAGGACTCCTGAGCCATCTCCGTATCCACAGATACACAAAATGATGTCGTGGTCTTCTTCGAACTTCGAAGGACGAACAAAAACAACGTGAGTGTCAAACCCGTTGCCCGGAGGACAAATCCTTTCATGCGCAGAGAAACACCTCTGCAACAGCGTCAGCACGTTTCTTTATAACGTGTGGTTCTTTCACTGTATTTAGTTCATCCTTCACTTTTTAACTTGACCTTTCGGGTAATCTTTCAATCCTTCTAGTCCTTGCCCCGATGGCTCAACGATAAGCCTGAGGGCTTATAACGCTAAAGTTCGGGAGTTGATGCCCGCAGTGAGAAGAGCACAGATATCCTATTGTGCAGCTTTGTGCTTAACAACAAACAAACAAGTTATATTTAGTTTCGGTCTTTTCTTTATCTACCAGCATCCTTTCACTCTGCTCCCCACCCCCACCCCCACCCCCCAGCTGACTAAAATATGTTGTAACTCGTGTGTTCACCCCACACCACCACAGATAGATTATTTTATTATGTAAGTCTGAAAGAGTCTCTATCTATTACAGACGGCGATCTGGTGGCGTAAACTGTAATATTTATTTTTCAAACTTTGTTTCTACTTTTAAGTAGTAAATAAGTAAAAAAGTAAAATTATAACTCCGAGAACTCTTAGGTCTCTTTACAATTTAGGTAAAAAATCCTCAGAGCTACAACCACGCCATCTTACTGGAGTGGTTTTCAACACATTTGATGTAGTTTTCCCAGAAATCGTTTAACAACGGATAAAAAACAAGGAGTCCTTTCCGTGACAGAGTTCCTGAATACAGAGGAAGGATATATAGAATCACGTGACGGTAATAACTCAGTTAACAGCCTGTTTCTTATGTTCAGCTCCGCACGTGACAACTCAGCTCTGTCAGTCCATCTGTACATGACCATGTAAGTCGTCCTACTGACAAACTAACCGTTCCTGGTGTCGGTACAAGGCAAAACTCAAGTTAATAACAGGAAAGGAATGTTAAAATACCCCCCCCCCCAGTGGCACAGCGGTATGTCTGCGGACTTACAACGCTAGAATCCGGGTTTCGATACCCGTGGTGAACAGAGCACAGATAGCCCATTGTGTAGCTTTGTGCTTAATTAGAAACAAGCAAGAAACAAGGAATGCTAATTACAATGTTATCAGACAGTTCTAATTACGTCGGAAGTAAAATCTCATGAGAAAACAGATTAGAATTGGCCTAGGCTGACAAATACTATAAACTATAGGAGGTTTCAATTAATAATTATTGGCCTAGGTAATAATAATAAGAATTGGCCTTGGCTGACAAATACTATAAACTATAGGAAGTTTCAATTTATAATTATTGGCCTAGGTAATAATAATAAGAATTGGCCTTGGCTGACAAATACTATAAACTATAGGAGGTTTCAATTAATAATTATTTAATTTATTAAAGTTTTGTACATTATATAACATGAGGTAATTTATACTTTAATATGGTAATATGGTAAACTATACATCTAGTTAATAGTTTTAATATCCTGGTAATATAGTAAACTATATATCTAGTTAATGGTTTTATTATCCGGGTAATATGGTAAACTATATAACTAGTTAACAGTTTTATTATCCTGGTAATATGATAAACTATATATCTAATTAACAGTTTTATTATCCTGGTAATATGGTAAACTATATATCTAATTAACAGTTTTATTATCCTGGTAATATAGTAAACTATATATCTAGTTAACGGTTATATTATCCTGGTAATATGGTAAACTATATATCTAGTTAACAGTTTTATTATCCTGGTAATATGGTAAACTATATATCTAGTTAACAGTTTTATTATCCTGGTAATATAGTAAACTATATATCTAGTTAACGGTTATATTATCCTGGTAATATGGTAAACTATATATCTAGTTAACAGTTTTATTATCCTGGTAATATAGTAAACTATATATCTAGTTAACGGTTATATTATCCTGGTAATATGGTAGTTAACAGTTTTATTATCCGGGTAATATGGTAAACTTTATACCTAGTTAACAGTTTTAGTATCTAGTTATTGACCTATACGTTACACAAACTAAATATACAAAGGCTTTATTGAAAGAACTAGAATCCTTACTTTGAGTCTGCCAATCACCCAACTTGTCTTCAGCACTTGAAAAGACCAATGTGAGATCTCGCTGACAGTTACTTACAACAGACGAGTTTTTTATATCGAGAGACAAAACTTCCGAGTTTCTCTTCATCTTAGAAAGTTGTACATCTATCTTGTCGTCATTTCCAACTTCCATTAGGTTTTTGTAGGCAGCATTGTGTGTGTTTTCTAGAGCGAGTATAGTCCCGTGAATTTCAGGAATCGAATTTATAAGTTTCCTCCATTTTGGCTGTTTTTCAGCAAGATTCTTTAGAAAACCTTCAAACATTTCTTTTTGAACGGGATAACTGTCATCAGCTGAGTGAACTGAAACGGTTAGGTAACATAAAACCGAAGTTGATAAAAACAGGATCCAAGCCCGAGAGTCAGCCATAGCTCTGAGATCCCCTCGCTGAGTTAGGTGGAAAAACGTCATGCAAGGTGCAAATAAAAAAAGCTATATAACACCTACACAATCTTGTGCCCTTGTCATTCTTTTTTACGTGTATTTCTAAACCTTTATCTGGTACCAAAGCCTAAAAACCATTATCATATCAGTGTACATATTTTTTGTGTCGCCATCTAGCGACATAAAATGAATTAGCGCACAATCGTGACACAGATAACAAAGTATTATTTGCTCTGGTTTTGTACGAAGGTTGCTAGATTAGGCCTCGTTGATGTGATAATGAAAGAGAAACTGGGATTTTATCTTTATCTGATACTAAAAGCCTATATCACAGCGTTTTTTGTTGTTGTTCTTGTTTCTTTAGTCATCTTTATATTCTTTCGGACCTGTTATCGTTATATCAACACTACAACTACGCCCTTCCGCCCCTCCTAGAAAAACGATATCTATAGCTGTCAATTATGTATTATGTTCGTGTAGAGTTGATGAACGGTAAAGATGAATTTTATCGCCTACTTTTTACGTCTTACAGTGCAGCACCTACAGAACCTCCAACAAGTTATCTATAGAATATTTACACTAACGTGTGCATTAAACATATCGTACTAATGATAGCTTCAAACTATATTGTATTTATTTGTAAGTATTATCACTAAGGCCAGTTTTCAGACCATATTGTAGTTAATCAACAATAGGTTCACCAAGCCCAGTTTCAGACCATATTGTAGTTATTCAACAATAGGTTCACCAAGCCCAGTTTCAGACCATATTGTAGTTATTCAACAATAGGTTCACCAAGCCCAGTTTCAGACCATATTGTAGTTAATCAACAATAGGTTCACCAAGCCCAGTTTCAGACCTTATTGTAGTTAATCAACAATAGGCTCACCAAGCCCAAAACTACGAAAGTAGTTTTACATTACATCTTAGTCATAGAACACAAAGTGAGTTTTAGATTATATTGTGGTCATACAGCAGTCAGTTTACTAAATGTAATTCAAGACTATACTAATAAATAAGTTCAATAATAGGAATTTCAGACTATTGCGGTCATACAACAATATGATCGTTAAGGGAAGTTTCAGACTATTGCAGTCATACAACAATAAGATCGTTAAGAGAATTTCCAGACTATTGCAGTCATACAACAATAAGATCGTTAAGAGATGTTTCAGACTATTGCAGTCATACAACAATAAGATCGTTAAGAGATGTTTCAGACTATTGCAGTCATACAACAATAAGATCGTTAAGGGAAGTTTCAGACTATTGCAGTCATACAACAATAAGATCGTTAAGAGAAGTTTCAGACTATTGCAGTCATACAACAATAAGATCGTTAAGAGATGTTTCAGACTATTGCAGTCATACAACAATATCACTAAAAGCAGTTTCAGACCATAGTGTAATCATTAAAAAATAAATTCACTAAGATGTGCTTCAGAAAATAATCACTGAAAGAATGTCAGACTATATTGTAGTCGTACAACGATAAATTCACAGAGACAGTCCTCAGAATGTATTGTAGTTATAGAACAATCAGTTCACTAAAGGTAGTTTTAAACCGTGTCGTAGTTATTTAACAATAAGCTCGTAAGGTGAGTTTTAGAACAGACAGCAGGGAGTCATACAACAGTATTATCACTAAAGGCACTTTCAGACCATAGTATAGACATACAAACCTAAGTTTACTAAGGGTAGTTTCAAAATACACTGTTGTTGTTTAACAATATGTTCATTCTGACATCGTTAAGTTAAAAAACAACAGCTTCAAACCGTATTGTAGTCGTACAAGCATATGTTTTATAATGGCAGTTTCAGTAAGTTCAGGAATGTGGTCAAACAATAACAAATTCACAGACAAAGACTACGTGTACTGAAATATAAAATTGAGTATTACTATCTGGAAAATCTTTTTTTTTCTCCAGTTCTATTATCGTTATCTCTAAACCCATTTAGTATGTTTGTTTTAGAGCAAAGTCACATTGGCCTATCTGATGGGTCCGTAAACTTACCGCTGTCCCACTAAGAGACGTCTCTAGTATGCACAATATATTCTGAAAAACAACGAAACTTACCTATCCTATTTGTTATAAGATTTGTGTTATTATTTTACGTTCTATTTTGATTCCTCTTTATAAAATGCTAGAACTTTATGTAAGTTTAAAAAATATATGTATTCAATAATTTACCTGGTGTATAGCACTACTGAAAGCGTTGTTAAACAATATTTATTAATTGTTAGTGTTAATAACAACTAACACCAGAACTTATTAATTGTTAGAGTGTTAGTAACAACTAACACCAGAACTTATTAATCGTTAGAGTGTTAATAACAACTAACACCAGTACTTATTAATTGTTAGAGTGTTAATATCAACTAACGCCAGTACTTATTAATTGTTAGAGTGTTAATATCAACTAACACCAGAACTTATTAACCGTTAGAGTGTCAATATCAACTAACACCAATACTTATTAATTGTTAGAGTGTTAAAAACAACTAACACCAGAACTTATTAACTGTTAGAGTGTCAATATCAACTAACACCAGAACTTATTAATTGTTAGAGTGTTAATATCAACTAACACCAGAACTTATTAACCGTTAGAGTGTTAATATCAACTAACACCAGTACTTATTAACCGTTAGAGTGTCAATATCAACTAACACCAGTACTTATTAATTGTTAGAGTGTTAATATCAACTAACACCAGTACTTATTAATTGTTAGAGTGTTAATATCAACTAACACCAGAACTTTTAAACATTGTTAAAAGTCAGCTTTTGAAGACGTATTTCACGTGTTCGTCCGTCATTACCTATCCATCTATCCGGATAGATAAAAACCAAGATAGATTAATTGAAAAACGGAGAGCTGGTTGTCAGAACCAGCTGCTACTGTTGATAATTACCCGGCTAATAGACTGTTTAAGCATATTTAATTTTGATTTGAATTTTTAATCCTTAAAGGACATAGTAAAGAGATAGTTAAGTAACAACAAGAAAACAACAACAGATCCATCAAGATAAAAGTGATTTAACCAATAACTCCTGTCAACTCCCCCCATATCTGATATCGAGTTTATTTTATGTGTGATGTAATTCCAAGAATAAGGTACACCCGATACTGTAGCTCCAAGAATAAGTCACACACGATGTTGTAACTCCAAGAATAAGGTACGCCCGATACTGTAGCTCCAAGAATAAGTTACGCCCGATGTTGTAACTCCAAGAATAAGTTACACCCGATGTTGTAACTCCAAGAATAAGTTAATCCGATCTTGTAACTCCAAGAATAAATTACACCCGATCTTGTAACTCCAATAATAAGTTATACCCGATGTTGTAACTCCAAGAATAAGTTACACCCGATGTTGTAACTCCAAGAATAAGTTATACCCGATGTTGTAACTCCAAGAACAAGTTACACCCGATCTTGTAACTCCAAGAATAAGTTATACCCGATCTTGTAACTTCAAGAATAAGTTACACCCGATGTTGTAACTCCAAGAATAAGTTACATCCGATCTTGTAACTCCAAGAACAAGTTTCACCCGATCTTGTAACTCCAAGAATAAGTTACACCCGATGTTGTAACTCCAAGAATAAGTTACACCCGATGTTGTAACCCCAAGAATAAGTTACACCCGATGTTGTAACTACAAAAATAAGTTACACCCGATGTTGTAACTCCAATAATAAGTTATACCCGATCTTGTAACTCCAAGAAATAGTTACACCCGATGTTGTAACTCCAAGAATAAGTTACACCCGATAGTGTAACTCCAAGAATAAGTTACACCCGATGTTGTAATTCCAAGAATAAGTTACATCCGATCTTGTAACTCCAAGAAATAGTTACACCCGATGTTGTAACTCCAAGAATAAGTTACACCCGATGTTGTAACTCCAAGAATAAGTTACACCCGATAGTGTAACTCCAAGAATAAGTTACACCCGATGTTGTAACTCCAAGAATAAGTTACACCCAATCTTGTAACTCCAAGAATAAGTTACACCCGATCTTGTAACTTCAAGAATAAGTTACACCCAATCTTGAAACTCCAAGAATAAGTTACACCCGATTTGAAGGCAACTCAGTTGTGTCCTACTATAACAGTGGCGTGGTGTGTAGTTACGTTACCTGTAACGATATTGTCGATCGATAAGTTACTTACTTCTACTCTGTTTTTTTGTCTGCCCCGGGGTTTGTTTTACTTTCCAGAGATGCAGACACAATGAGTTTTAGGCCCCATCCGTCCTTTTCTTCTCTCAGATCTCTGACTAACGAGAACGCGTGTGCTGACGTAAGCAGTGGAAAAGCACCCTAATGAGTTTAGGGATTCTCAGAACGCGGGAAAGCCGTCATTCGGCTATACCACGCTAGTGCTTGAAAGGGCAGTAGTTGCAGTCGACGAGCTGAATCGACCGTTAACCATCAGTGGCGCGTGTAGAATACAGCCGTAGAGGATGAGAACAAACAGGTAAAACACTGGCAGCAGGGACACGACAGTCTGAGATCACAATGGGAAAAAAACAGAGTACCCTCAAGAGTGACGTGGTCGCCAAGCTCGTGAAGGAAACGTACTGTAAGTTGTTTATAATTTGACATATTCATTCCGTACAGCAACAAAAAACAAACCCGTACTTATATTACAGATTTATTTTCCAGGGTAAAATTCAAAACGTAATCTGTGACGTAGAGGACTAATGTATTCTTGGATTGGCCGTACCCTCAGCTGTTTAACCTATTCAAGGCTCGTTAGCACAGCTTGGGTCAGCAAACCAAAGAAATACAGTTACGTCTCTTATAATGGTGGTGTGTATACGAACGTCTTTTGTTGACTTACGTGTTCATTGGAAGTTCGTGTGTAAAGTTCAATAGTTGGAAGTTCGTGTGTAAAGTCCATTAGTTGGAAGTTCGTGTGTAAAGTTCAATAGTTAGAAGTTCGTGTGTAAGTCCATTAGTTAGAAGTTCGTGTGTAAGTCCATTAGTTAGAAGTTCTTGATTAAAGTCCATTAGTTGGAAGTTCATGTGTAAAGTCCATTCTAACTATTAAACTTTACACACGAACTTTCAA